AAATTGTGGAAGTTCACCTTTTCAAGATTATTAATCAATTCATATAATATTTAGACCTTAGAACGTGTACAACAAAAGTAAAAGTAACAAATCACTTTTTAATTATTTCTAAATGGTTAATCAATCACGTCAATAAATCATATGTTGAATTACTACAATTTGTAATATGAAAGCAATAAAGAACACCAAATTAATCATGGAGAAAACCCTTCGCAAAGAATCAAAAACTCCAAGCACTTTGCCAAGCAATAATCCACTATAAATGAAACAACTTACAGTATGGTTCAAACCCGACTAATCCTTAGTCTCCCCGGCCTTATTTTCCTGTAGTCATCTTTAATCCTACTGGACAGTGTGCTCCTCACACTAGATCCCTGCTCTTGGAATATCACCTTAGCCCTGCTCCTCACACCAGCTCTTAACCCCTAATAGTTACCTTAGCTCTCCTAGATTGCATGTCTTTGCACCAGCTCCCAATCCTTGGTATTGGTTATCTCCGATGGATTAAATAGTTTGGTGTTTGATCAAATGACTTCTGTGTTTTGATCTTGTGGTTTTATATGAAACAATATGACTTGATCAACAAAATATGTTTTGGAAGAATTTTTGGATCAAATAATATGTGGTGGTTGAATCTTGGAATCATTGAATGTTTTGGATCATCAAAGAATTTATCTCTACGGAATAAATCCGATTCAACACATTTTGGGACATATGGTTATATATTTATACTAGAGGTGTTTTGGATTGATTAGGAGTGAAAAATCCTGTTAAAACAAACTGGGAGTTATTGGAATCGAACCATTGCTTGAGCGCCAAGTGGGCGGCCAGTGAGCACCGTCTTAACAGTCGTCGGTATTTTTATCATAAGTTTCTTTCCCGATGTCTGATTGAGATGATTCAAAATGCGTTGGAAAGTAACTCAAAAGGATACAATTCTTCTAGAATGGAATTCTCAAATTCGAATATTTTCTATGTAAATTTGTTGCAAGTTATGAATGAGAATTTGAAACATAACTTCTACGAATTTTTGACACTCTTTAAACTTCAAATTGTATTCCATTAATCATTTGTAATCTTCTTGAACATCTTGAACTCCTTCAATACCTATACTATCAACCCCCAATTATTTAACTTTAATTACAACTCAAATAACCTAAATTTTGGTTACAGATAAAACAAATTATAAATAGGAGAGCTAACAAAGTGTCTTCAATTTCTTGCTAGCTTGATCTTCTCTCTCAAGATTGTGATTAGGCCTCTTGTTCTTGATGAATTTTGTGATATGAATGTGTATTGAGAGGCTAAAGAAAGATCCCCTAATGCTTT